CTAAATCGCCTGAAAATTTCTTTTTACTTAGAATAATAATGCTTTTTTTTTAATGTCAAATTTTACTAAATTCGTAAATATGCCCGCGGCGTTCGATGCATTTAGCGCATTTTTTTTAGTTTTCTATATGTATACAAATATTTACTCTGTTCGCGGATGTCTTAGAACGAAGTTAAGGGGACGCTATAGTTCCGAACGTAGTACGCCTTATATGCGGTCACTGAACATACTTGACATTCCGCATAACCAACTATAATAAATAGTAGTTACGCAAACATCTACAAGTGAGTGCAAAAACTATTGAATTAATGCATAATATCAGTTTTTATGAATTGTCCTTCCTTTTGACAATTGTTCCTTTGCTAATAATAAAGCGTTTTGTATTTTTGGAGAACGTCTTCTTCGCTCTACAAAGTTGCGGCCATAGCGTTCTCGTCCAGCTCACAAAATTAAATTCGTGATTGTAGAATGCTTCTGGACTTCAGGGATGAGCAAGGTGAATGGCAAAGGACAGCAACACCATTATCTCATACCTCCTCCAAAGCTCAGAAGCTACGGAAGTCACTTAGGGTATCTTTCTGCATATGGTAGGCACCCTTTAGCTTTATAGCTTGGGTGAAGGTTTAGCCAACAATTTTCTTTCTTCGAAGGTGGCTGAAGGCTATTTGCTACGAATTTCAAAAAGTAGAATCGAACGCATTCTTTAGATTGAAGATACCGCTTATGGCAAGTCAGCTTTGAGCAATATCGCTATAGGACTATCGTAGACATAACGCCAATTTCGGGTTGCGTTGGAAATTTTTTAACCCTGACGAAAAACAAATAAAAATGATTGACAATGCTGTTTTTTACTACTGTATATCGAGGTTAGACTGAAGGTTGTTTTTTAAAGCCAAATCTAATTTGTACAATAAAGAAATGCCTCTATAGGCAGCATATGATAATCAACGAGCCTGAAATTATCAATGTGAAAGAATCAGTACTGATATGCGAATCTATATCCATTATAATGGCAAAAGTACACCACATGGGGGGTTTCAATTTAACTATACTGTGCCATTATTATGAGTTCCGCTAATAAAAAAAAGGAAACATTATTATAATAATGATTGTCAAAATCGGCGGGGAATGTATTGTTGATGATTGGGCGAGGGCAATAAAATTTTAAGACGTTCAGCACACTGGCTATTTCGATTGTACATAAATTGTTGGTACGGTGTTTGGTGCTTACCGAAGGGCTGAACCTTCTATACGGACAAAGGTTGACTAGCTCTTGAAAAACATTTGTGTTTCAAATTCAATGGAGCAAGCAATTCGGCCATTGTTTACTATGTAACAAGCTTAAATAGGTTCACGTAGAATTAACTAGAGCTGCATAGACAAGTAGCAACAACACCCAAAGCGGTGTCGGCCAACTCAGAAAACATAACAATGGTAGAACTCTATGACTGTGTACGTTTTTCTGGTGGTTCTTGTTTAATAATAACAATAATAATTCAGGCACGCGTCAATTTCAGCTGAAAGATAATTTTGGCTATTACGCAGCTATACATTTTTCGAAACGCTTACTAGTTTATGGTCTAAGGAAAGCACGAAAAACTGTATAATTACTTATTACATCGATTCGGAATGATTTCAGCTTCAAGCTTAAGCCACGGTCTACATTCAAACACTTTGCAAGGTCAGTAATCCTATAGCACAAGGCATTTATCATAAAAGGTTTCTTGATAATTATTAACGGCATTATGATGCATCTGGAGTATATCAGTTGCTCTGAATGAGCATAAGACTCCATGAAACAGAGCAACTGGAAACAACATCAAACAATTGTTTATACGAACAACTGCGTTACAGCTGTCGACACTCAAAGTGACCTTCATATTGTATAGATAAACCAGCACAATGTATTTAAAGCGTTATTCGCGAAACAAAAAAAAAAAAAAAAAAAACCAATTCGTCTTTTGTTTTCCGTTATTAGCAACTTTAAGAGCTGTATCTGTTAGTATCACTCAACAAAAAACCCTCTAACGGTACATGGTGAAAGTAACTACCTAGGAATTGTTTTCGCTTCGATCCTTAAGGACTATTGACCGCCATAAAAATGCAAATAATTATTTCTCTTCCTTCCGTCTTACATTGTTCCAAGCATACCTATTCCAAATACTTTTTTTAAGCTTCCAATGCCTGTAAGAAATCAATGTTAGAAGCTTCTGACATTGCTTTTGGCCGGTGGATTAACCGCCTGCGCATGAGCCTAACGAGCGAATATAGCCAACCTGCAGGACTCGTGGCGTGTGCACGTCACAGAAGTAGCAGCAGTGAGAGGACGGGCCTATTTTTGTCTGCTTGCCGCCAACCTCGTGAGAGAGGCCAAGCAAGCAATGCTTTGGAATAGATTCTACTGCTTTTTATATCCGCCCCAGTTACTATTTTGTTTTCGCTGCTGCAGTTCTGGATCCAAGTAGCATCTTGTCTGGCTCCATATGTGCCGCCCGATACTCGACAGCAATGCCGGAATCAAAGCTTCTCTAGACGAGTCTGCCATTATTAGTCTGTATCATATTATTAGTATTAATAGACCTTATTAGGAAGAACCATTGCACTCTAGTATAGTACAGGACAGGAAGAAATAGCGTTTAAAGATTTTGCCCTTTCTCAGTAAAAACTACTGATTCAAGGTGGCTCTGTTTTTCAATTTCTATTGAGCCATGACTGATAGCTATTGAGAGTGCAAATTATAGGAAACCAGCCGTTTTAAAATGAACCGTATATCGTATGCGGTATACCTAAATGGCACTGGTTAAATATCCTTAAGTAGACACTTGACGATTTTTTTTTCGTATTTTAATGGATATGATCCGTCCCCAAAGAAACAAACAAATCGGGGTTATACAGCAAAACCGAAGATTGAACTGAGCGGCTTCCTCAAGAGAAAGTCTTGTTCTTTACAGTTTTCTACGACAACCACCCTTCAGTCATTTTCAAACTGATTGTTTCTGTTCAAGGTATTTTAGCGTTTCCGTTTACTTATAATCCAAATCATCGAGGCACTTATAATGTATTGGGGATGTCTGGCAGGAACGTGTATGGCAGATGGTGGCATCTTATTCTGGTCAGTGGCGGTTGAAGATGTTTATTCAAGTTCATCTCTGTTAGTTCTTCTGTTTAATATAGCTCGAAACAACTTAACGCATTTGAATGTCATTTTTTTTTATTAGTGGGGCCAAAATCTGTGACGTAATTCGGGCAAGCTTAATTTCACTCTTAACGTTTTTCCATCCAACTCTCTGCTAACAGCCATTCTTATTATCTCCTCTAACTGCCACAACATCAACTGAGTAGCATTTGATATAATTAGAAATTACTTACACAAATCTGCCCCAACGCTGATCCTCATCGACGTATAATAACCTTTACTAATTTTTTTAGTATAAGGATTACATGGTACAGAAATAATATTCACCAGCTTTCTGTTTCTTCAATATACTTCGGTGATACCTCGTTAGTCATACATCAAATCAATATACTAGTGGAGCTGTCAACCTCGTTAGCCCAACAAATCAGTGTGATTGTGGCCGAATCTGGTCTATAGGAAATACGGTCACATAAGTTTAATTCAAACTGATCTATTTACCTGGCAAGGTAGAAGCAGTGTATTTGTATATGCAATGATGTCCCGTCAAAAACCTATGCACAATAACGCTATATGAATATATAAAGCTACCCACCTATTGAAGGTACCCCATGGATGTCGTTCACTACCTTCTTGGCTATTTTAATAAGCTCTTTTGCCTCATTCGAATTTAATGATATCGACACATATGGACGCTTACGCTAGATCTTTATCACTACGTATGGCACACGGTAGTGATTTTTGAGAGAAGCAAGCGAGTGCTTCATATTTTTCTTTCAGTCACAGGCGCGACTACAGCAGAGCTCTGCGGTCTGCTAATGAAGGAGTCGATCGAAAGTAAGCTTTTGAACTAAGCGGTCACCACGCATGAACTCTGCAGACCTCTAGATTGTCTTATGAATGTGAGCTTTCAGAAGAGCTACCTGGCTTAAGTTGGCCAAATCGTTATTTATGCTTTTACCCAGCTGGTTATCCCATTGGATGGCTCAATTCGTAAGCTAATTCTCTGAGGTGCTTGTGCTTCAGTACGCGTCTTAATTAACTACATCAATTTCATTGCATCCGTTCCAAGAACGTCGAACTCCGTGATGTTGAAATGGGAATAGGTATTTCTTCAATGATATTTATCCCGACGTCTTCCTCACTACTAAGAGTAGTACCGTGTACGAAATATTCCTTTGTCTTGGGCAACGACACCAGTGGTCGCCTGTTAAAATAATTTTAGTGTGTATTTATCGGTAAGACAATCAAAGCCTTTTCCTGCCGAAACGATTGCGTAAAAATCCAAATTTGACGATATTGAACAACTGAGGCCTCTTTCACTGAACATATATCTCGCTGTTAAGCACCTAAGGAGCTGGATTAGGCCTTTGATGTGAAGAATTCTCGTTTTTACTTTAGCTTTGGGTCACATTTTAAAAGTAATATTAATAACTTATGTCGAAAACGACGTTCTGTGAATCCTGTGCGCGTGACTATGGTTTTATGATTCTGAGAATAAAGGAGGGACAATGTAAGAATATTGTACTTTATGTTTCCAGCTCCAAGAGACCTATCGTTTTTGTGTATTGGATGGATTCAAAATTAATCGTGACCACGTCTACACTTCGGTGATTCAACACACGAGAATTATGAATTGTACGTGATTGTTCCATATATATGACACGTCTTTGTAGCTGTTCAGCTTCTCAAGTATGATTGTTTAGAATAAGCTTCACACTTACCCTATCCTGATTTATCGCATGGTGACATTCCTCTGACTAGTGGGCCCGACCGCGGCAGCTGCGTGACAACATAATGATTTTTTGCCTTTACTTAAGTGCTTAGCCGCAGTCTTTTTTGTCGATCTCCGCTTGTTGACATGTAGGTGACGTGGCATCGACATTCCGACTATCATGTCCTCACCGTCGGTTTAATGACTTATACCACCGATGAGCGATTTTCAGCTGTTCGAAGCGAGCTACCTACCGTGTTGGCGTCAGGTACCCTTAGTCCTACTGAACCCCCTTCTGCAATCGGCCCAATTGAAGATTGGATGCTACAAATCCGCGGCGTGGCCGAGTCGGATGCCGGAGAATACGAGTGCAACGTAAATACACAACATCCTATCATCAGCCTCAACGTCACGCTGAGCGTTCTAGGTACGTGTTAATAGGTACGCAAGTCAGTGTACATTGATTCTTTGCATCACATTTGCGTGTCTGTACATGCGCTTAAGGAGACTGAGATTATGATGATTGAAATTAACATTAATAATAAAAATGGTAGTCGTTGTCAAAAACTAACTGTAAATTGTCTTAGTCCTTACTTCCAGGCCTTATGCATAAGTGTTTGCCTCAACCTAAGAAACGCTTCTCCTCTAAATGTTAATCATGTGTCTTTCTTTCCACCTTCACCAGAACCGTTCGCACATCGTTTCAACGGGTTGGGGGCGCAGCTATCTTCTTCTAGCTGCTACCGGGTTCAATTCGAAAGCTAATTGTCGTAGTTCTTTTCGTTGTTGGGCCTGCCTGCCTTTAAAGTAACTTTCGTTTGTCTTTCTCCTTTGAGTCTATTTTTCTCCGCATCACCTTATTTGTCATATCCGTTCCCTGCCTATTGCCCATATATCCTTACCTTTATATATGTTGCCGACAAGATCTGTCATTGTCCCATGCGTCATCACGAACATGTCGGGTCTTCTGTGAGCGATCTTAAGGGCTGATTAATAGAAGACGGTGTTTCTCGCAGCGTCAACACGTTTCTGTGACACGTCACGCATGTAAGGCTTCCAGCTTCCTAGATCGTGTGCAGATGTTTTTGGAATGTTCCGTACCCAGTTAGGACGCGTGTTACATAATACGTGATAGCGCCATACTTCCTGTTAGGTCACTTGATAATCTCCGAGATCACGTGACGACCATATGTGATTTTCTAGTAGGAATGTTCCATTCCGGCTGTCACTCTTTCGTAGCTTACTCTGTTGCCACGACTTTTTTTCTGTCTGGGATGATCTTAATTGTTGTGTCGTTTCACGCGTTCCTTTGCATCGTTACTTCTAGCTCGAAAAGTTTGAGGATGCCATTGTATAAAAGATCATGCTGTAGAATAATGAGTTAGATTTCAAGCCGGTATTCCGGTCCACAATGAATTCCCTTAGCCCAAAAGTGCGATAGCGTTATTACTAAGGTGCGAGGCAATCAGCTTTTGGGGATATCTTCGATAATGTTGCGTCTATTGCGGCATAAAATGTTGCGGGTACCCAGCAAGACAGTCAACATAACTCCTTTGGACAATCATTTTTGTTCTTTTCTCTTCTGGTTTTTTGCAAAACCCCATTGGTGGCTGTTTTACTGGATTATACAGAAGCCACATTGAACACTTAGGGATACTCCTTTCTCCTCCAATTTCACCTCCTGTTTCTTATTTATATGATTTTAGGAGCTTCTGCAATAATGTCTAGTATACGGATTGGACGGTATACTTTTTCTAACACCATGTGTTGTCATCTTATGTCTAAGGACCTCCGGCCTGTCGAGAAGGGTAATGTTCACCGTTTCGGTTAACATTCTTGCCGTTTCGCATGTTTTTTTTAGAAAATCTACTGGTTACCGTTTGGATCTCCCTTGAGACGTAACGAAGGGTTCGTTGCCTATGCTGCCCATCGGACGCATGAAGTCCGGGTGGCTTGTCTGTTTACAACTGGCTTCGCCATTTTTGGACTTCGGGTGTCCCTATAAAACTGCCAGATTCGATTGTGTTCTAAATCATTCTTATTGTGCCATTGCTCCTAAATGTGAGATCTGCGTAAGACGTTTGGTTACTTTCTGCAAAGTTCGTTGAAAAATCGTCGTTGAAAAGGGTTGTACGCTGCTCGGTTAGCCACACTTTCACTTCTGGCCGGGAGGGATCCCGGGAGCATTGAAGCGTCGCTACCGTGCACAACATTAGCTTCACACACCAGTATTATTGTTCTTCTCCTTACATCCTCCCATTTCAGAGTGCTTTGTCATTATTGTCGTTACTGCATCCGTACTGGCCTCATTTCCGACTTATCCACTTCCTGCTCGGCTCGCTAATAGGTAACATCCCTAACCCCTGTTTCTGTCTTTGGTTTCTTGTCCGTCATATGCTTATTGCGACTGATGAAAGATGACCTGCACCAGACTGCAATTTCTGGGCCTAACAAATAGTTCTATGACGGCTAGTCTTTGGCAGTGTTATAGCTGCTCCCGCCCCTTGTTGTCTTGTCAACTTGAACGAATTTAAGGTAATTTTTCTGGTTGCCTGAAACTCATATGCTGACTAGGCTTGTAAAGGGTCATTGCTCTCTTTTCCTTGTCATTTTCCCTTACGATATTTCCGCTAACTGTAGCAGGGCGTGAATTTTTGTTTCCTTGACCTCTCCCTCTCCTCCCTAACCTATTTTCTGTAAATGAGCAATTTCACGCAGCTACTAAAATAATTTAGCTTTCCTGCCTTGCACCTCCTGCAACAATAGCACTTTCCTTTCCGAAGGCGGACTTTAGTCTTACCGATTATAGTTTTATATTGGCAGCACCTTATTCGTTCTAGTTTTTCCTTTGAAAGTCTGCTCCCCAAAGGGCGACCTTTTGATTAAAATAGCACTGACTCATTTACTTAGAAAGTACGACACATATCCTTAGTTTATGTTCGGGTTTTAGACGAAGGAGCTTCTCCAATTTCTACTCTAGAGAAACTGCCGTTCTCCATTTGCCCTGTCTATTTTCGTTCGCTATGTCCACTGTGGTAGTCTGTCTGCTGTTCAACCTAAGCTTCGTTTGCGTCGTGTCGTTTCTTGATAGCTGCGTCTAGGTTTCTAATGCTGATTTTAATGGCTTGCGTGCTTTTTAGGTTGCTTTGCTCCCAGTGCTATCTGTACTTTGATGCTTTCCAGGAACGTGGTAGTTGTCTCTTTTGTGTTTTTGTTATATATCACTACGCATATCTATAAGTACGTATTTCCGTCACGTGTGGGTTCAACGGTTTTCACCGTAGCGGCCTTCGTTGTGTCCACTTTGGGCGATAGTACGCCTTACTGCTCTTCTTGCTTGTTTACCCCAGGTGAATCTAATTGTTATTGATACCGATGTATTTTTAAACTGTGCACTTGTTCTTCGTTCCTCTGTGGCTGGTTACTCTTTGTTACTCAGTAGCTCTTCTCATGAAATTAACGTCGACTTCCTCTGCTGCACGCAGGGCCGTTTTTTTCCTCTTCTCTTCTGTCTTCCATTCTCCAGCAGGTTCTGCGTGTTGTTTTTTCAATTATTATTAAAATCGTCGATATTTTCATCTTCTGCGCAGTCCTCACAGTGAGAACCCCCTGCGCTTACATTAAAATAGCTATATGAGCTGCCCAGTGGTTCTTCAGTGGACAAATTCCCCTTACTTCTACGCTTCTCGAAGCCGGCAGCTGCTGGGAAAATCGAGGGCTAACCGTGCGATGACATCCAATTCTAATTCTGGGTCATTGCTTTAACCTTCTTATTCTTTATTTGTAACAATGATGGTAATAATAAACAACAGCGATGAAAAAAATAGTTGTAATGTAAAAGTGCTTTAATTTTAATACACACCCAAGTGATAATTTTAAACTGGATGGATAAGTAATATATTTTATACCTTGCAATAAAAGTTGCATTAATACACTATTTCCTTCTACGCATGATCATATGACTGGTATCGTTTATTGATAATTTCAAGGTAACAACTTGACCACAAAGGTCCTATAGTATTTTGTAAACGTTTCACATACCCGTACAGTCGAGGAAGTAAGGCTACAGAAATAGAAAATGAAAGTTATCACATCTGCAAGTCCCAGCTCGACTTCGATTTACCGTTAGAGTGTATGACAAATATTGTTATTAATTTTTAGGCTACTTGAAAAATAAGTTCGTAAGGAAGCTGATAGATATAGTCCCTATTATAGCTAATCTAGATCAAACCGAAACATATTCTTGACCTAATCTTTTCCATTTTTCGCTTAATTTCAGCCCCACACGCGTCGATAGTCGAATCTCCCGAGCTTTACGTTAATCGTGGGAGTACTATAAAATTAACGTGTATTATTCACGATTGCCCTCAACCGCTAACGCATATCTTCTGGTACCATCAGGATAAGGTGAATAGGCATAGAGATCAATCCTATGGAAATGCTACGATAGCTTTGAATCTCAGAAATGTTTGCTTTGCTGTGATTCAATATCTTAATGTATATTTGCTTTACTAATAGTTCCACCGTTTTATCTTTTTTGCTGGTCTATTACTGATGCCTGTTCTTGAGGTGATTAATTATGAGCGACATGCAAACATTACAATAGAACGAGCGACTCCCAGCTCCAATGAGGTGAGTGGCTGGTCTGCATCAGCAGGTTCCTGGAATTCCTCCGGAGTACCGCAACGAGGTTCTGTCTCGACTCAGGTCTCTCGGCTGCTTATACCCGCAGCATCTGCCGAACATTCGGGTCGATACACATGTGCTCCGATACATTCTAATGCGGTTGTCGTGCACGTTCATGTGCTCCACGGTAGGTAAACAGAAATGGTGTAAAAAACAAGTTTAATTGTATAGGTTCAGGCAGAGACAGGGGCAGAAAATAGACTCGGTAGATATTGCAGTTAGAGGATGCTGACGAAAGTCACACAGAACTGTGCCAGAATACCTGTAATCTAAGGTCTGGTGTCCATTAATTTACACCCTAAATTTTTGAACAAACGCGATCAAAACAGTCGCCCACTATAACCTATGTTATATTTCCAAATTTGTGTACATATACATGTGCAGCAAAATGTTGTTTATCTGAGCGGTTTGTAAAGTTTGTGGCGCTAATTGCATGTTTATTATTAAGAATGACCTTTAAGAATTTGCAAGATAATTTTTAACATAAAAAATTTGCGAAACAAATTATTTTAAGAATTATTAAGAATTTTCAGGTTCTAGCAGGCCAAGCGTAACAGACAATTGAAAAGAGAAGCGTCTACTAAAAGCGACGTAAGATAGATTTCTAGTAGCATCAGTCTACGACATTGCAAGGAAGAGCTGCATGCACTTCTACAATATTTCCATGCCAATTCACTTGTTTTTGCTTCGATTAACGTCTTAAGAATGAGAGTTATCTCTATCTAGCGCAGTCAGGGTTAATGTAGGTAGAATAGTAGCACTTTTTTTTTTTATGACTATTCTGTTTTTTATTCGCGTTTTAGCGGAGGAACATTTGGCTCGCAAATCTCACGAAGCCTCATCAGCTGGTTCTACTGGTAGCCCGGCTGATCGTCCCTGGTCGCTTTCCATTCACGCCAGCCTGTCGTTGCTTGCACTCGAGCTTTTCTTTTTGTTGGTAGTTGCGAGCACCACGTGACAGCAGCTTAATCTCCGGTCATGTCGATCGGATTTCCAGGTGAGTATGTTCTACCATTACTCCTATACGGTTATATAGCGCATATATAATATCTACATTCAACTAGCTACCTGCGAATCACCTGATATAGCGGGTCATTGGGAGCAACTCTTATTGTGCATGCATTAAACGAGAAATAGCTACTTTGAAGTCTAATGCATCGTGATACTTTTTCTGATGCTTTCCTGTCTGACTCATGTAGTCGTCAAACGAGTTATCTTCATCAACTACAGCTAGAACTGACGCTAATTCCAGCTTGATACGCAAAATGAAGTCAAAGATGTGCACAAAACTGTTCACAGCCATTCCTACCTCAGAGTCCGAGGACTTCATGCAAAGCCATCATATCAACGCCACCCGAAGCGCTGAAACAATGCAGGTTCAGCGTTCAGCGGGCTGCACCCTCCAGCTTCAGGCAACAGGGTGTACAATCGCCTTGGGCACCGAGTTACCACTCTCAGGACGGGAACGCGATGGACCGAACTTTGTGTAGAGAAAACGAACCACTGGTGCAATGGTCTGCCAGTTATTTGTATGTTTATCTATATAGATATTTAAAAATAAAGCTCCTTTAGAACATGTTGCTAATGTGGGTTGATTTAATTGGAAACTAATTTATACAGGCTTGAAGCATTACTACTGCTATTTTACGTATGGTACCAATGCCTAAATACATCATCGAGAGAAAGGAAACGGAAGAATCTATGAGAAAATGAACAAAAAACGAGATAGTTAGCATGCCCCGGTTGTTTTCATGGGGTCGTCTTTGTACATTACTAGCATATCAGGACAGATATGAACGACGGCAAGGATAACTGCAAATATATTCGCCTATATGGACGACAGATTTAGAAATAAGCTTCAGATGGACGAGTGCTAGTACATCTCCGGAACGATATAATTCTTTACAAGAAACGATGGTCCAGTGAACATCCGATCTCAGACGAAGGCCACAAAGCACCAACTAAATTTTTAACGATGTATACTATTAGGACGTTGGCAGGCTTTGTTACCTGCCGGATGTGTTCGTCTTCGCATATGACTCTGTGGGTTGTTGTTAAAATTTTCTAAGGTTGATAAGGTAAAAACGCGATCGTATTTAATGCCTTTTGTTTCAGCAAAAATGTCGTGCGCAGAAAGAGCGTTGCCGCACAGAAGCAAATGCTGAATTTACCATGTTAAATCTGTGTTTGAAGAGGATATCTACTCTAGTTGAATTAACTAACGTTACGTTATGTGATAATATATCTTAACTTTGATTTTTTGCGGGCTGTTGATCGGTGGGTAACTTTTTGCGCCGTCCATACCGTCCCTGATACCGTAGACGATTAGTGATCGTGTGTCTATTCGTCTAATACATTTAAGTTGAACAATGAAATACAACATCTGTGATATAACTGTACATATATAAGCGTTAGTCAACGACAAGAGGAACAGTATGTAAAAAAAAAAGTATCAAATAAATGATGATCATCAATATAAATGCACGTTTCATGTGTACTGTTGCGATGCGCAATAGATATCATTAGACAGATCATTATAGATACTCTCGGGAGCTCAAAAATCTCAGGTATCTACTAACGTAACTAGTAAACAATGTATATAATATTAATAATAAGTAATGGCTAGAAAAACAAGTTATTAGATAGGAGTAACTTGATACATGCTTACGATATGCTTAGGAAAAAAGACAAGGTTATTTAATTCAGAAAATGGGAACTTTTACTTAGCAGGTCAAAGTATAGGACATAACACTATGTTCGATCTAATATTCTCGTAAGCGACAACTGTTTCCCGAAGATATTCCTAACAGCGAATGGTCATTGCTTCGTTCCTGGATAGTTTTCACCATTGCGCTCAGCTTCTGGGTCAACGAAATCGAACCCATAGCGAAGCCACCATAACAATGGGCTATCAGCTCAAAATGTGCGTCGTCGTTATGCTGCAAGATAAAAGTAAACTTTGTTTACTAGCACAATAACACAACGTTTATGGTAAGTGAGAAGGCGGCAAACGGGAACAACCGTGGGTTTCGAGCGCCAACGAGAATAAATCAATCAACCAATGGCTATAGACAGCTGCGTCAGAAGTCTAAAAACAGCCATAAGGTTATTACAAATGAATTGCACCAGGGGCACTGTGTCCCCATCTGTTCCAGTTATTCGATCAACAAGAAAATCTATATAAAACTGGCTGAAAAAAAATAATGTAATAAAAAAATACCCTAAAATTCAGTAATTGGCGGAAACAGGTCATCTATTTAGCTGGATTAATTTAATGTCGTTCATAAGGTAATTTTGTTTCCTTTACGATATTTTAGTGTGAAAAGTACCAGGAAGAGAAAATTTGCCCCGATGCTTTTACCTGAACGCCTTTAATGATACCCTAAGGATAATTTACTAGTCTGAATTAAAGTTCATCGCTCTTAGCGTGTTTAGAGTCAACTTTGAAACCTGCGCTCTGTCTAAAACTAGCTTATGTAAAATATAGTAGCAGTCAAACTTCTGAAGCTTCGACTTTGAATGGAAAACTATGGTATGGAAAAGGATCAGTTTAATCCGTAGACGTAGGCTTATCGCAAGAATGATGAAAATAGATTAATTCACTGCTCGCATCGTTTTTCTATCATGAAATAATGTAGAACAAATGCAGGTGCTTGTAAAGCATGCTTTTGATTTCGGAACTGGAATAAGTATTCTTTAGCAGGAACCATTGAGCGTTGCTGTCGGCGCGCATTAAGCAAACATTTAACACATGACCGCCTTCTCCTGCAGAGAACTATACCCTAACGAGCCGTCCATTTCTGCGTTCCAATTGCCGTGTCGCGCAAGAGCAAATCTCATATTTGACAAGAGCCAATGACCCGGAAAGGTGCCGCATTGAATCGACGGCATCGATGGAAGCATGGCTGTGAAGAAACCACTTGTGCGAAACGTCGATAGTTCCATAAGACGGACAGTTAATAGTGTCGGGAAATGCTGCCTGCCAGACTGGTTTCCTATCACACAGGTGACTTGTACTGTTCTATCGAAGGTAGTGACCTGTCAGGCGCGTCTGAAAAAGCTGAAATGGCCTGAAATATAGAAGCTCATGGCAACTGAACTTAGCCTATCTTATCACAGTGAAGTAGAATGCGCTACCACTGATTTCAAAAAACATTGAATTGGAATTCGATTAACGGGATACCGATCAGTATTCAGTCGATTGCATCCGAAGCATGAGTATCACAGTAATCATACTAAAAAAGAAGGCACTGGTGATCTCCCCCCCACAATACATAATTATTAGAAAAATACGCGCGGAAGAACATTGGTTGTCCTATTTTATGCTACTTTCCGGATGTTTCCGTGCCGGTTATCCGATTCATGCTACAAAAAAAGGCTTGTAGCCTTTAATTTCTTTTTGACAACAAAGGAAAAGTCGAGCATCAACAGTATTTCCATTTTTCCAATCCTGCTATTTGTATGGCGTACCGTCAATATAGCTAGTTGGTAATGCAGCAGCCTTACCTCGTCCGCATATAGCCTGCCGAATAACTATAATCCCTCCCTGCAAATTGTTTAGAAAAAAATGTCAAAACAAAGTAATGTTCCACCTGAACCTATAATCATATTATACGTCCTGGATATATGGTAAAATCTTAATGAAGCAATAGGAGGAACGCTAGGCAGTAAAAACTAAGAGTAGCTACTATATAATGGTATAGATGCACTACTTACTTGCAGATAGACAGTTTCATAATATGAGATGGAAATGGACAGCAGGCAATTATGTATCATAGACGCACGTGATTTTCAATATATTATGGCTGATTTAATGCTTCATATTCGGAAAATACCTTGGCTCACATTCTGTCCCATTTTATGACACATGCTATATAGAAATGTATAGAAATAAATTAGGAAATGTTTGTTTCGTATCTGATCTCTCTAGTTACAATGGTCCGATTCAGCCTATCATCAGATCAGATAAAATAGATTAATCGTCTAGTATCGTTCTGTAATATGATTTGATTAGGCAACTGGTAAAGGACAATTTGTCTAGCATATAACTAGGTCGCTATATCATTCTAATTAGCTTGTTTTATTTTTGTCCTATTTGAATTCATATCGAAATAGAGCTAAAACTAAGAATATGTACATATATATATATATATATAGTTATTAGATTATGAATAGATAGAGGACTATCTCTTTATTGTATATAATTCCGACCTCGCTTGTTGACAAGGTATCAAACAGAAAACATAACGTGAAAATAGTGTTGTATGCGTTATATAATTAGATTGGAATTTCATCTTCCATGTGACATTCATTTCGTAATATATCAATTCTATAGACTTTTCGTACCAAAGATGAGTTGGTTTTGATCGGGATCCTAAAAAAAAGTCCATTGGCCTAAGGTCCAAACGCAAATAGTCTATGGGGCCTCTTTTTGCGAAATTCTCGTCAAGATAAAACTTCGCATCGCATGGAGTGCCCCGTCTCGTTAGAAGTGAAGTTTTCCATCTTTATTATAGTCGTCCCGACTATGGTTTTGTAGGGAATTCGAGCACTTGGCAGCAATCGTTGTGTTGTCAAAGAAAAGAGGTCCAGTTGTTTAAAATAGCTGAATTTCACTGAAATTACTGGTGAATTTATATAGTGTTTCATACGGATATGCAGTTATCCAGTAAGTTCAATTACGGCCACTTAATTTCAGAACAGTTTCATTGTTCCAAACATTTTCCTCGAATTTTTTCAAGTATTATGCGATTTGGATTGTTCTTGTTAATAGTAGGTTCATTGCTTGTAGCGCGTACATGTTACCATTCTTGAAATGTAATTTCCCCATTTACAGCATCCCTGAATTTTATATACGCTTAATTTGATGACGCTAAGCTTACGATTGGATTGCCTTATAGATTTTAAAGACGTTTCGCTATAATCTTCCGGTACTCTTCTTGATTAATGAAGTACATTGATATTCTCGATAATCCGGACGTTGTCCTATGAACGTTCTGAACATTTCGGCTGTGAAGAGCATAGGTGAGTCTACTTGAAACTACGTGATATCGTTTTCGTACTTATTCTATAGCGTTTTCAAAATACATTTTAATTTTGATCCATCTATTAGTTCCAGAAAGAAATATCATAGAGTTGTATATATATAGTATATTCTTCTGTAAACGTGTATCTACAACACAAAATTTGCATTGGTCCTTGTGTACCTGTGGCCTTAAGCCTAGTGACTAGCTCTGGCGAGAAACCTGACATTACAGTGGTTGCGGCCTTAAATAAGATAGATTGTTGCGTCCTGTATCTGAATGAAAAAATGGACATTTGGCAGAGCACTGGGATGATCCTAGCAGTGCTTTCCATTGGCACCACATAATTGGCACTAATCACATAAGGAACCAGTGTTCGTATCAAGTTGGTCAATTAATAAATTGGCCAATTTAAAAAATTAATTATAGAGGAAGATGTAGAAAAAGATTGTTGAACTAAAAACACGAGACCTAAGCTTTTCCAATAAGTTTGTACGACTAGAGCACATTACTAGACTGGTAAACGTCGGCAATAAATACGTACGCTTTATATGAATGTAATTTCATGTTTACGAAACGAATGTACGTAATGTCGACGCACAGGTGGTCATGTACTGAAAAGCTTCTTATAGACGTATGTTATTTATTCAGTCCTTTCCGGTCACCTAAGGAAAAACAAAGTTAAGAAAAATGTGTAAAAACATAACTTGTCAATAAGAGAGTTTTGAAAACCGAAATTTTGAAGCCCCCTTTTTGCTCTACGAGAAGAGTGTCTAAGCCAAGCTTATTTCGTTCATTGTTTAATTTTATTAAAATAACGCTATTATTTAATGTATCATCTCTGCAACTCATATGTTTATGCTAATTTAATTTATTTCGTTTTTCTCATTGAATTTTTTACTATAATTGTTTCAAAGTACATATATGCATCTCTGTAGCGTTTTCAATATGGTATCACTCGTTTACTATTCTCCCAGAGTTCGTATAAATATGTTTAAAACCTTATGCTATATTTTACGTTTTGATCTCTGAAACTTGATGTTCAGATAAACAAAAAAAAATGCGTAAAATCTCTTGTAACGCTAGAACACAGATCACCCAAGACGACCAATAGCAGCTAGCAGTTGTTTACTATGCCTATTTAGTACGTCTGAGGTGTTGAACTGACCTTATACTTATACAGTAACAGCTCAAACTATTAGACAACATCCTCTTTCCCACTCTCAGTGATCCCCTGAATTCCCCTCAACGTTTGTTTAAGATCCTTCGAGATTTAGGCTCGAGAGAAGCCAATTGTTCAGCTAAAGAATATATAAAAACGCCAGACGTTTCTTTTACTCAAGGTTTACGTCGTCTTTATCTGTTGAGAGGATGCCGATTTA